ATTTGAAATAATTTTGATTTTTTTTTATAAATTATCAATAAGAAAAAACTTTATTTAAATTAAACTATTTGATTTAAGACAGCCACAGATATTCTATTCACGAAAATTGTTGAAAACATAACTCATTGTATGGGTATAATAAAACTGCCACAGCACCTAAGCATGGTTGTATTACTCCTTGAATACACACTTTATCACATGGTGCAGAATATAAAGTATATGCACCACCTTCACAAGTACAATGATCTTGAACATAACCATCTTGCATTCCTCCTAACCTATAACGAACACGAATACAACGAGCTTCAGGAGATTCATGAGCACGGATAATAAACTTTAAATGGTTTTGTTGAAGAAATAAATTTGATTGTTTTGACCCCCAAACAATCCCCACTCCTCTAAAATCATTTTTCTTAAAACCATCAGCAAGTTCAGGGTCTGACCATAATAATTGGTTAAATAATGATATAGGATTATTTGAGTCTTCATCAATGAAACGATCAATACCATTAATTTCTTCAATAAATCCAGGTTGTGTTAGTTCATTTCTTGAAAAAATACCACCATGAGCACAAAATGCAGAATTAGCAACTACTGCTGCTAAAGGAAGAGATTTATAAAATTCTCCACAAGCATCTAATACTGAATTATAGTCTTGTGGAAACTTAGATTTAATTTCATCAGTAAATCCATATAATGAGTTCATTGCTAAACTTTCATGATTTCCTCTCAAAAAGTAAATTGATTGTGGTTCTGTTAATTTTAAAATACTCATTGTAACAAGAATTTCTAAACCATCAATTCCTCTATCCACATAATCACCAAGTAAAATATAAACATGTTGTTTTGTTGGATAGCCAAATTTATCAAAAATTTTAATTAGGTCATTAAATTGTCCATGTAAATCTCCTACTATGATGAAATAATGATCGTCATCTTTCTTTTCAGGTTCAATTTTAATCAAGTTGTCAGTTAATCGAAGGTATTCTGTCCCTTTAACTAATATGTCTATAATTAAGTTATGAGGAAGTCCTGTTAATTCTCCTTCTCTCTCTTTCATTCTTCTAATAATATTTTGACAATACTCATTAGTTAATACCTCAGGTAACTGTCCCGTTAGATGATTCATTCCAAAAAAATTCACTTTTTTTAGTTCGTTAGTTCGCTTTTATTCTATTTATTTAAAACAAATTTTTATGATAAAAAAGTATATTGATGTTATATATAACAGAAAATAAGAAAAAAAAAGAAAAACTAAACTGAAAAAGAAATACAGACCAACGATGAATATATTGATTATAATGGTCTTTATTTGTTTAAGTGTTGGTAAATATCAAAAAGGAGAAGCAATACCAGCACAGTATCAAGTTAAAACAAATGATGTGATATACAAATGGGAACCATTACCATATACTGCACGACCAAAATTTGGTGAACGAACACAATTTTCATTAAATGATTTAGGAGTAACGTTTTTTTATAATGACATGTTCAAAATGTTTGTTTATATAGTATTAAGTATTGAAAATAATTCACTTTATAGTCGTTTTTCATTTCAAAATGGAAGAATAATAACACCATACATTCCAATTCATCAAAATGGAATTCCTATATTTACAAATGCAACAATTAATTTTGATGTGGTTCATGGAAATATTACAAAAGCAACAGTTTATCCTTTTTGTTTGTTAGAAGTATTTTATTATTAATTTATTTATTAGAGTAATTTAAGTATTAATTAGAGTAGTAAGAACACAAGAAAAGTTTAAACTAGAGACATTTGGATTTGTTAGTTTTTTGTTTGTCTTTAATGAAAAGACACACGAATATACTTATTTATCTCAAAATCTCATTCTATCAGGATCTGCTATCTTTTGTGGAATCTTAGCACTTCTTTTGTTCTTGAAACAAAGTCATTCAAAAAAGTAATTCATTTTTCTTTAAGAAATAAATCTGATTCTGAAAAACAAAATCATCACCAATTCATTTGTTTACTTTTATCACATTAACTATAAAATATTGTATAAAAATTATATTTAATAATAATAAAAAATGAACTTAAAAAGTAAAGTAGGAAAAAATAAAAAAGAGATTTAGAAAAATATAAAAAATAATAAAAAAAATCTCAAAAATGAATAGAGAGGAAAGAAATGGCAAGATTTGAGATTAAGAGAAAAGTTAGTACTAAATCCACACGAGTTAAATGTGTTGATTTTCATCCTAAAGAGCCATGGGTATTAGCTGCACTTCATACAGGAACAATTTATATTTTAAATTATCAAACTAAATCTATTGTAAAGACAGTGGATATTGGTGATAAACCAATTCGAAGTGCTAGATTTGTTGCTCGTAAAGAATGGATTATTGTTGGAAGTGATGATATGATGATTCGAGTATATAATTATAATACAATGACATTAGAAAAGAGTTTTGTTGCACACGAAGATTATATTAGAGATATTATTGTTCACCCAACATTACCATATATTTTGACATGTTCAGATGATACTACAATTAAATGTTTTAATTTTGAACAAAACTTTGTTGAAGTTATGGTATTTAAAGGACATACTAATGCAGTTATGTCATTATCATTAAATCCAAAAGATCCTAATATTTTTGCATCAGGATCATTAGATGGAACAGTAAAAATATGGGGATTAAATAGTAATTCACCACACTTTACATTAGAAGGTCATGAAGCAGGAGTATGTTGTGTATGTTATTTAATAAATGATACAAGACCATATCTTTTATCAGGAGGAGAAGATACTGTTATTCGAGTTTGGGATTATCAAACTAAAGCATGTGTAAATAAATTTGAAGGACATACTGATGTAGTGTGGAGTATTAAATGTCATGAAGAATTCCCAATTATTGCATCAGCATCAGAAGATTCTACAATTAGAATTTGGAATATTCAAACTAATAAAATTGAACGAGTATTGAATTATGATTTTGAACGTAATTGGTCATTGGCATTTAGTGGTAATTTATTAGCTATAGGATCTGATCAAGGAACATTAGTAGTAAAAATAGGATCTGATATACCTACTATTTCTATGGATGGAAATGGAAAAATTATCATGACAAAAAGACAAGATGCTATTATGTATAATGCCAAAAATATTGAATCAGGAGATGGAGAAATATTAATGCTTCCAATGAAAGAACTTGGGGTTGTTGATGTTTTTCCACAAAATATTCAATTTTCACCAAATGGTAGATTTATAGCAATTGTAGGAGATTCTGATTATATCATTTACACAACATTAGCATGGAGAAATGTTAAATATGGAAATTGTTCACAATTTGTTTGGTCAGATAATGGAGGATATGCTGTGTTAGAAAAGAATGGAAATGTCAAAGTATTTAATAAACAATTTGAAGAAGCCAATATCAATATTCAAGAAGAAATTAGTCCAGATGGAATCTTTGGAGGAAATTTATTAACATTAAAATATGGTGATTCATTATCATTATATACATGGGAAGGACAATTTATTACTGATATTCAAATTGTTGCTAAAAATCTTTATTGGTCAGATACAGAACTTGTTTCTATTTGCTCAGATGATAGTTATTATATTTTAAAATATAATAGTGAAATGGTTCAACAATATTTTAATAAAAATAAAAGTGTTCCAGAAGAAGGATTAACTGAAGCATTTGAAGTACTTTCTGAAATTCCAGAAACTGTTAAATCAGGAAATTGGTATGGTGATGCATTTATTTATATTAACCATAACAATTCATTATGTTATTATGTTGGAGCATTTTGTAATATTATTACTCATTTAGAAAATAATATGTATTTACTCGGATATTTACCTAAAGAAAATAGATGTTTCCTTAGTGATTTAAAAGGAGAAAATATTGTTAGTTATAAATTACTTCATTCATTATTAGTATTCCAATCAGCTGTATTAAGAAAAGATGAAAGTAAAATTGAAGAATATTTAGCTCAAATTCCTAAAGATTCATTAAGTGTTGCAGCATTATTTTTAAAACAGCATGAATATCCAGAATTAGCATTAAGTATTTCTGATGACCCAGAATTTAAATTTGATTTAGCAGTTAGTTTACATAAAATTGATTTAGCAAGAGAAATGGCAGATATTATAAATGATGATCATCAATGGAAAGAATTGACTAAATTATATTTGGATAATGATGATATAGAAGAAGCAATTGATTGTATGTTTAAAGGAAATGATTGGAGTGGAATTCTTTTATTTGGTGTTGCATTAAATGATGGTGAATTAATAGAACGATTATTGAAAATTACAGAAGAAAAAGAAATTTGGAATATTGCATTTGTTTGTGCTCATATTATGCAAATGAAAGAAAAATGTGTTCAAATATTACAAAAGACAAGTAGATATCCTGAAGCTGCAATGTATGCTGTTACTTATGGACTTCCACCTGAATTAGCTAAAAATATTGTTGAGGAATGGAAAACTGAATTATCTGAAATTTATCCAAAACAAGCTGAGGCACTTGCAAATCCACTTGACAACCCTGAATTATTTGTTCTTCCTGAACAACAATAAAACTTAATTGAAATAAAAGAAAATGCGTTTCAAAATTATTGAATTTAGGTTAATCTTATTTTTATTATAAACTTCTTTTCTTTTACATAATAAAAATTTGTGTTATATCTCTATTTAAAATTGTTTT